GCTTTTTGGTGGTTCCCTGGAGATAAGAGTCTCCTAGACTTTCCTGCCCCGGCTGGCTTTGAACTACCATCCTCAGATCTCTGCCTCCTGAGTAGCTAGGAGGCTAGTAAGCATGAGCCACCATTATCTGGCTCATTTTTCCTTTTTATTATTCTCTTTTCTGATAAACAATGCAACTCGTGCTCAGATTTATAAAACAGAAAAACTAACGAAAGGGGAAACCCAGCTCCGCAGAGCATTCGCTGTTCGGACGGGCCTCAGCATTCATTCTGGCTTGAGGAGTCCATCCCAGCCTTTCACGTGTCTGATTTGAAAGTCGAGGGTGCTGAGATGCCTTGGGCTCCACCCACAAGGAGTCCTTCACTCTGTGCCATGGAAGACAAGGCAGAGATCAGGGTCAGCCAGAAACAAACCAAGGGCTTGGAGCACGGAGAGCAAGACCCTTCCACCATCTTGGAAAGAGGAGTTGACCTGTGTAGGAACAGGAGGAAATACCCGGGAGGATCTGGGGTGTGTGTGAGAGTTTGGGATTCCTCAAGCCTGGCCTGGGGTGCCCTCTGGAAGTCAACCCATTGTTCTAGTCTCAGGGTGGTAAGAGTTGGCAAAGAAGAGCACAAAGCAAAAAACTAAGTAAATAAAGCTGAAACACTCAAAAACTACAACTTGGGCCAGAGCAGAAATAAAACCCTAAACCCACATCCTCAGGATCGATTGCCTAGAGTCAGTCTGGAACCAAGAACAGAAGCTGAAGTTGGACATGGGCCAGCCAGGGTATGATCCCCACCGGTGGGCTGAGGGATATTATAATCTTTTCTAGAACCCACAGTAGTCATGGAGAAAACAGAGGGGTTTGTCATTTTTTAACGTCTCTTTCTCTTCTTACGACTATCACCTCTTCCACATTTTGAATTGAAGCTTGAGGATGTGAACTGTCCCCGCAGTGATTCATTCTGCCAGTCAGAGCCAGGTGAACGAGAGCAGGACCCCGGCAGGCCTGAGATCTGCATTTCCATCAAGCGAAATCCTCTGCTAGAAGCCAGCTTCGCCTAGGCAAGACAGAGAGAAGATGTGACCTACTTATAACACCCGGCAGTGTGTGTGTGTGTGTGTGCCCGTGTGCGTGTGCACACGTGTATGCCTGTGTGCGCGTGTGCGTGTAATGAAACGAAAAGTGAATTGTTTGGCTGAAATCTGACACTAAAAATAGGGCACTGGATCTTTCCCCTGCTGGAAGAAAAGGGGGGAAAAAACCACCCTGCATTAAAATGAGTGTGTGTCTGTATGTCTGAGACTGCGTCTCCATGGTAACCATTGTCCCCCCCCCATCATGAGCCCGCCAGCACACCTCTCTCTCTAGAGAGAGGGCCCATCCCTTACTCCATGAAATTGGATGAAAGAGTGGAAGGAATTTTAGTGATGGCTCCAGAAGCCAGGGGCAGTCCAAGGTTGGGGTGGGGGCCAGTGGGGGGAGGTGCAGGGAGGAGGGGCAACATGGAGACCAGCGGCCCACAACTCTGTCCTCTATGTTTTTCTTTTCGCCTCGGCTCCCAGGCTGGCTGCTGGGGGGGAGTGATAAACTGCCAGGCAGTGATGTTATTACTTTAATGCATCCGGGACTGGGCCAGCTCTTTATTTCCACCCGGGCTTTTCTTGTACTTTGCATCTTCTTCCTTTTTCTAGAAGAACCAGTTGTGCTCAGATCGCTCCTATACCCTCTCCTTATTAACGAGCGCTGTTCCCATTTCTTATCCCACTGGGGGGGGGTGCAATGGGGGGGAGCATTATTTGAGAAAACAGTTCTTTTTCTTCAGAGTGGGAACCACCATGACCCCCCAACCTTGGCCCCAGTTGCTGTATAGAAGAAGTGCTAGTGACCCATGCCTATAATCCTAGGAGGCTGATATCTGAAGATCACGGTTCAAAGCCAGCCCAGGCAGACAGATGCATGAGACTCTTATCTCCAGTGAACCACCAGAAAGCCAGGGGTGGAAGGATAGCTCCAGGGTTAGAGTTCCAGCCTTGAGCAAAACAGCTCATCAGGAATGCAAGGCCCTAAGTTCAAGTCCCAGTACGCACTTGCAGACTTGTGCACACACGCACATGCACACAGAACAAGCGGGCGCACAGCTCAGCAGCGAGGGGGGGAGGCACACGGGGAGCAGAGGCTGCTGAGCTGGGCAGAGGCACTCGGGCCTGTGCTGTTTTTAGCATTTTCAGCCCCTCCAGAGGCGGCTGGCCGCTCTCGCCTCAGCCCACCTTGTGTCCAGTCAGCGCCGGCCTGGCCTCCTCCCCGTTCCCCTCTCCTCCAGCCCTGCCCTGCCGTCCGCACATCTGGTCTTCCCTCCCCACTGCAGTCTCATCTGCAGGCTGGTGCCATACGGGTCCTTGGGGCTGTCTTGTCCCTCTGACAGCTGGGGGGGCGGGGAGGTGGCCGGGAGCTGTGGAGTCTCCTGGGGAAGGGGGGACACGTTGCATCCATACTGTGAGCTTGACACATTTCAGGGTGCAGAGGAAGGGCCTCCCCAGCCTTGTCCCCACCCTGTGAACTGAATGTGGCCAGCTGCACGTTCTGGAAAGATCCCAGATGTACCGTGCTCTTGCTTAAGACCAGGTGGTAGGGCCCAGACTCATGGCAGCCTCTCTGCATCTGCAAGGATGGAGCCAGCAGTGCAGGCGCAGCCTCTCTGGGTCCTGGGAGCCGATACCCAGCCTCTCCGGGGCAGTGGCCCTCCATCCTCCCCAGCCAGCCGAAGCAGCACAGACACCCCAGAAGCCTCCGGAAGAGAATCAGGGAGACTCCCCGGAGTGGAGTCGCTGTGGGAGCTCCCTGCTGTTGTCCGGCTGCAGTGGGTAGGCACGCAGCTCATCCTCAGTAGAACCACGAGGAGCAAGACATGAAGATGGAGAGCTTGCTCCAGCCCAGAGTCTGAGCATGAACGCGTGCTCACTCACAATGGAGACATGTCCATGGAGACTCTGCTTATTTCTACATGTGAGGCCAGTTAGACCATCCTGCAGGTGATCTGGCTACGGAAGAGCAAGGCCAAGCTCTCGGACCTCCTTTGAACCCAGAGCCCGTACTCAGGCCTCAGAGTAGGCTCTGTTCATTCCTGGGGTCACAAATCCCCTCTCTTCCACATCATCTTCTTCAAGATACTTAGGTAGCCAGGCATGGTGGCTCACGCCTATAATCCTAGCTACTCAGATCTGAGGATTCCAGTTTGAAGCCAGACCAGGCAGACAAATCCCAGAACTTATCTGTAATTGATGAGCAAAAAGCCAAAAGTAGAGCTGTGGCTCGAGTGGCAGAATGCCAGCCTTGAGTGCAAAAAGCTGAGAAACAGCTCTGAGGACCTGAGTTCAAGTCGCAGTACCAGAAATTTTTTTTAAAAAAGCGTTGACATCATGAGATTTGATTTTCCTTTGTTTGAAGTATTCCAGGGAACAATTCCAGCTCTCAGCAGCTGGCCAAGCAAAGTCGAAGAGGGTGCCAGCGAGCTCACACTCAAATAATAGATTCTCTGGGTAACAAAACCTCAGGGAGGGTGCAGCTTTGATTTCCTTCCCTTTCCCCACCAGCTCTCCTGTGATCCCACTCTTCCATACGAGAGGCCTCCTGGAGTGCTGAGAAAAATTATTCATCCTCCTCTGCCTTCATTTCTAGTCTTGAACAAGAAGAATCTTTGAACCCAGGACTTCATTCTTCCCGTGTAGGTTCTCTACCACATGAGCCACGCCCTCAGCCCTTTATGCCTTTTTACTTTTCAAGTCGCATCTAGCAGCCATTCCTGCCCCGGACCTCAGTCCTCCTGTTGACCCACCCTGCAGAACTGAACCGACGGACGCTTGCCACCATGCCCCACTGAGTGCCATTGGTATGATAGGATCTTCCCAGTCTGTGGCCTGGGCTGCCTGCTCCCATGTGATTCTTGGTTTCTTTCTCTGGCAGAGGCTCACTAACTTTTGCCAGGCTGGTCTTAAACCACAATCCTCGTTTGTTTGCCTCCTGAGTGGCGGGGAGTACAGGCAGGTACCACCACGCGGGACTAGAAACCAGGCTTTGTATAAATCTCGACCACTGTTTCCTAAGAGCCAGGAATGACCCGTCAGGAATAGTGACTCATTCAGCCCTCACTGAACAACGCTCGCAAAGGAGCAGTTATCCTAAAACAGGAAAGGATGACATCAGTCAGTGGCCGCACTGTGAGCACACTGTATAAACATTTCCATCCACACAGGCATTGTACGGTGCAGGCTTCTGGTATCTGCAGAACTCGTTTCCCGGGGAAACTTCAGCAGATGTGAAGGCTCGTGCCCAGGTCCCCTGGCTGTCATCCACCTCTCAGACAAGCTCCCGGAGGACGGGGTGGAAGAGGACGGGATGGAGGAGGATGGGGCATGGAGGATGGTGCTGCATGCCTTGTTCACTGCTCACCACTCGCTGGGCCTAGGATGGAGCCAGACCCTCATGACCACAGGCTCAGCGCTTCAGAGCCAAAAGGATCAGAGATGACCAACTCAAGACTGATTGAGAACGGAAGAGTTCCAGGGAACAGACCACAAAGTGGCTGCCAGAGTCCAGCAGAGGCAGGGCCTCTTGCCTGCTCCTTCAGCCCCAGGGCCGGGCCGTCCAGGCTGTCTGGCTTTGTGGGATCCCAGTGTCCTGGCCAGGACTGTGGTTCTGCTTCCTCTCCGAAGGCCTTCCCTGTGGACAGGGAGAGGCCGTCAGCGCTCTGGCCCAGTTGGTGTAGCACCCCATTGAGTCAAGTAGTCTTTTCATCCGGGCACTGCGGTGGCCTCCTCCCCACACTCTCACACCCTGGGCCTGGCCCATCATCCCTGCTGACATAACCCCGACCACTTCTGCTCCCGCAGGAGGCCTCAGGCACCAAGGGGCTGCCTGGGTTTGTGCGGCCAGGGCTTCATGGAGTAGTGACACCATAAGTCTGGCTTCTCGATGGCTGAGAGTCCTAGTGCCGAAAACCCCAAGACTGTTCGTGATGGCGGTGACCTTCACAGTGTTGGCAGTGACCTTCACAACAGAGAGCCTGGGGAGAGCTGAGGGCAAGTTTGTTCTGCCCCCACCCAGAGGCAAACAGATTCTGCCTATAAAACAATAATTAATTTATGCTCTTTTTTTTTTTTTAGTTTCTTATTCAGTAGACCTGCTGAGACCAGGCAAGGTTGGCACTCCACGTGGCTGGGAAAGAGAGAGAGCAAGAAAAGAACAGAGAGAGAGCAAGAAAAGAGTAGCAAGAGCAAGAG